AGAGATAAGGGATGGACTCCATTGATAATTAAGTTGGTCGGAGTGTCCAGGGTGAAAGTCCCGAAATCTTGATTACGTTTGCATAACATAGATAATTGAAGTAATGGAAGTGTTTTAATATGAGTTGTAGTCTCATTTGAATTGCGGATAATGGAAGTGTTTTAATGTGAGTTGTAGTCTCATTTAATAGTTTGGCTAGATAGTGAGCCATGTTTATGAATTTGAACTGGATAAGTAAAGGAAGAGTGGAATGAAACACAGATGTATTTGTCTTGAAACTGGAAAGTGTTGAAGTTGATTTACGAGTGTTAACCACTTATCGAATGCTAATGTCTTAGTTATTTCTCATATTTGGTTTAGTATATCTCTGCTGGGCTTTGGCTCACCCTATATGGGATATCATTTTCAGGTTCAGGTGATATGCCACCTCTAAGGACGTAGGTTGGGAGGCTTAGAGGCTAGAAGATCTTTTTGTTGTTACCTCTTTGTATTACATGTAAATCAAGCCAAGGGCTTATTTTGTATAAAGAGTTAGAACTCTTCTTTTGTTAAACCCAAGTGTTGACTTGGAAAGTTGTAAGCCCGTAGGGCATTTACTTTTGTTGTCAACATGTAATATTTTTGTACTTGATACTCTGATGTATGGAATATGATATCTCTTTCTTGTATCATGAATGTATGATTTATGGGTTTATTTTGAGGGCGTTTCAAAGATCATAAGACTTAACTGCTGGGCCAAGCTCACTATTGTGAATCTTTTCCCCCAGATAAATATTTAAAGTATCTGGACTGGCTATAAAATGGTCGTCTTCAACTTCTAGCCACGAGTGGAACTCTAGTTCAAAGTTCACTGTACGCGCCAAACTTTGACTAGCGCGTGTGGATCACCCCGACCTCCATTTTGTCTTTTCTTTCTAAGTCTGGACTCCTCTCGTCGATAGCTTCCTCTCAGTATGCTCAAAAGTGAATTTCGAGCAACTTGATTTTTGGCAGTTTTGGAAAAATAGAGTATTCGAGCCTCTGTTTTACAACCTTGCTCAACTTGAGCTCTGATACCACTTGTTAGGATTAGGCACACTTAAAAATCAATCACACACACACGAAAAAAAAAACACACACAAGGGATTTACGTGGTTCGGCAATACCCTACATCCACGAAGAGAGATTTCTCACTATAGAATTATCCTGGAGGGAGATTACAACTCACACTTCACAACCCTCCATATAATTCACTCTCTTACACAGATTATACACTCTGTGCTTGTTGCTCACACGCCTTTGTGTTGTTTGTCTGTGTTGTATCTTCTCTTCTTTTCAACATCTATATATACACGGGGAGAGGGAAACAAAGTCAAGAAAGAGGAGTTATTGGGCTGGCTGCCACTTGCCATCTTCCCTCCTACTTTTTGACTTGGAGCTAACCTCCAACTACTCCTCCATGTAGACTAAAGCAAACACGATTCAACCTTTATCAGCAGAATTCATAATGAACTCTAATGTTGTTGTTGTTGTTTTTTTTTTTTTTTTTTTGTGGCAAAATTAGAAAAATCAATGAACTCTAACGAATGTTGTAATGCTCTTATGAGTGTTGCCAAAAAAACACATTCAAAGCCAATCTTTACTTTGCCATAATCAACAAAATTAGCAAGAACCTTTACTTACATTGCCAATGTCCTATGAATGTTGTAATGCTAAATAGCAAGAGAGGTGCACGGTGGTCTACCCAGGTCGGTGGTCAGTGGCGGTCGTCGATGAACACCTAGGTCGATGGTCATCGTCGTCATCGGTGAACACTCAAGTCGATCGCTCGACTTCAGAGCAACCCAAGAGTTCCTCTCTCTCTCTCTCTCTCTCTCTCTCTCTCTCTTCTCTTTCTTTATTTTGTAAATGCATAGGTTTCACTCATGGTTGAGGGATCTGGCGCAAAGGCTACGACATGGATGCCAACACATTCAAGCTAGTAGAGGTTGTCAAATTTCTAGCTACCCAACAGAACTATTGAAAATTAGGACCATTCATGTATAAATAATAAAAAAATTATTTATTTAATTTTTTACTTTAAAGATTTATAATGTAAATTCAAAATTAATGTAATGTGAGTCATACCTAGAATGAATGAGATCTATAAATATATATATATATATATATACATATTGATTTGGTCTTTAAGAGAAACTTTGTTTTTTAATATCAAATTTGAATTTGATAAAAATTTGAAAAGATATTAAAGATAATTTTTTTTTTTTATCAAATTTGATAAAACGGAAAACTTGAGATATGAAGAGAATTTTTAGAAAGATTTTCATGAAAATTTGATGAAATAATTGGAATAATTTATATCAAATCAAGTTTTTTACTCAAATCTATAATCAAATTAAATCAGGAAAGAAATGAAGAGTTGGAGATACTCTAAAGACCTCTATTTTAGATTGTGAAGTTACATGATTTGGTTTAGATCTTTATTTTTAAACCTACTAACCATAACAGTTACAATTATTCAGAAGCCCTTATTCTGACTGCTTTACTCGCTTTGGGCCATGATCAGCCCTATGTGTAATGTTGTGAATTTTCTAACATGGACTGATGTTTTTCTACAATGGCTTGACTTGGTTACTTAGCCGCAAAGTAGACATGTTGGTCCTTGATTCTTTGAATGAAATCTCTTATAATTTTAGTTGCTTAGCCTCAAATTTGATAAAAAGGAAAACTTGAGATATGAAGAGAATTTTTAGAAAGATTTTCACGATAATTTGATGAAATAGTTGGAATAATTTATATCAAATCAAATTTTTTACTGAAATCTGTAATCAAATTAAATCAGGAAAGAAATGAAGAGTTGGAGATACTCTAAAAACCTTTAATTTAGATTGTGAAGTCACATGACATGACTTGATTTAGATTTTTATTTTTAAACCTACCAACCATGACGGTTAAAATTATTCGAAAGCCCTTATTCGGACTACCTTACTTGATTTGGCCTAGGACAGCTCTGTGCATAATGTTGCGAACTTTCTAACATGGACTAATGTTTTTCTACAATGGCTTGACTTGGTAACTTAGCCTCAAAGACCTGTTGGTCCTTGATTCTTTGAATAAAATCTCTTATAATTTTAGTTATAATTTTTTAAGTATCGTGAAAAAGTAATTAGATATAATAGTTGAATTTGGATCCAACTATTTTATTTTTGAGTACCTAAAATTAAAGTTATTAATTTATGGAAAATGATTTGTCCCCCCTAAAAAAGCTCCCCCTAATCCCCATAATCCCCAAAACGACGTCGTTTTGAGGAATTTTTTTTTTTTTTTTTTTCCTTGGTTTGAAATTTAGGGGGATTAGGGGGGCAAAAATTAGGGGATGTAGCATGGCTCTTGATTTATTTATATTATCACTAGAAAAGCCAATTTTTGGCTATTTAAGTTAAAAAAATTTATCGTTTTCTTTTTATCTTATTTAGATGACAAATGAGAAAAATAATAGGAACAATCTCTATTTCACAATTGCTAAAAACGTCATATCATACTTTATTTTATCGTTCATGAAAATTTTTAATTCTCAATTCAAGTGACTTAGGGTCCGTTTGGGAAGTGGGTTAGTTTTTTAGCTTTTTTTTTTAACTATTTTAGCCTAGGGCTAAAAAGCTAAAAAATTAAAAGTTTGGTTTGAGAAAGACTTTTGACTTTTTTGTGAGAGAAAGAATGTAATGATTATGGATTAGATGTGATGTTTTGTCTTATTAAATTAAAAAATCTATTTTATTTTTTGTGACTAAAATAATTAAAAAATTCTCAAATTGAGCTTCCCAAACGAAGCCTTCATTTTTTTAGCAACAACTTTCTTCTAAAAGGGTCAAGGAGTTACTAAAAGAACAATTGTCAAATCAATCTTGAATGACTACATATGTATATAAACCACACAATAGGACACATAATACTCACAGAATAATTTTACACATACTCACAAGGGTATTTATCTTGCGATGAAACCCATTGTTTGCAAGTATTATGTGATTCATTCTAAGATCTGTATTTATGAAAATATCTTTTTCTATGGCTAAATTTGTCACCACTACAATAAAAGTATTTTATGATGACGAAAAATAATAAAAAAAATAAATTTTGTCACTAAATAAAAATAATTTGTGACGAATTATAAAATTTTGTCACAAATAATAACAAAATAAAATAATAGGTGACGAAATTTATTTTTGTCAATAAATACTTCTTTTTAGGTGAGAAAAAATTAAATTTCGTTACTGAAGGTTTTTCCACTATTATTTTTAGGTGGCGCCAAAATTTTAAGACTTTTGGTGAGAAAAAATTTGTCACCAATTATAAAATTATTAGTGAGAAATATATTTTCGTCACCAATAATTAAAAATATATTTTTTTTGAAAAACTTTATTTTAAATATTTTGAGACTGTTTGGTGAGGAATATATTTTCGTCGCCAGTAATGTTTAATCTTTTGAGACTTTTGGTGAGGAAATTATTTTGTCATCAATTTTGGAGGGAGAATTTTGAGAAATTAAGCGTCAATAGTGTGTTTGGTTTGAGTTTTTTGGATTAAATATTTTGAAAATTGAGTTTTTTAGTTTTCGTATTTTTTTTGTTTTTACTGAATATTTTTAAAATTTTAAACATTTTTTTTCTTTTTTAGATGCACCTTATTTAGATGTATCTAAAAAGTAAAAAAATTGTGAACAAATATTTTAAAAAATTAATGAATACATAAAAATATAAAAAATGTACTGAATTCTAGTAAATTTTTTTTTTTTTTTGTATTTTTGGTATTTAGTGAATTTTTAAAATATTTTTTTTAAAATTTTTTACTTTTTAGGTATATTTATGTTAGGCATGTCTAAAAATTTTAAAAATTATTTAAAATATTAAAAAAATTTAATAAAAATAAAAAAATACGAAAAATAAGAAAATAAAATTTTCAAACAAAGTGAAAATTATTTTATCACCAATTTTGGAGGGAGAATTTTGAAAAATTGGACAGTAATGAAAAAAAAAATGCTAGGTTACAAATTTTCCCCCCTTTTTTTGTGGTCATCAGTTTCCTCTCATCCCTCTCTCAAAACACAGCACCCTTCTTCTCCTTCAGTTTGTTCTCTTCCTTCAGCGCTGCCACCGATGTAACTCGTTCTCCTTCAGCACCGCCACCAACGTCACCCGTTCTCCTCCTTCAATGGCGCTACCGATGTCACCCGCGTTCTCCTTCGACCAATCGTCAGCACTGCTGGCGTCGCTTCAAGTATTATTCAATTATTTCTCTGTTTCTCTATTTTTGTATTTTCAGGTATAGGTCCTCTGTCTTTCTCTCTCTCACCCAATTTCTCTATTTTTGTATCTTTGTTGCTAATTTCCCTTGCTTATTGAACATTTGCACTCATTAATTTTCATCAGAATTACAAACTTTGAACATCTTAAAAAAGAAGTAAAATTTTCACTTCATTATGGGTAATATTTGAAATAATAAGGGAAGAACCTGATTGGAAACCTTTGAATTTAATTGAACTGTGCATTCAATATTTAATTGGTTTGTTGGCTCTGTAACTTTTGTTGATAGTCATTTATCCAAAATCCTTTTAGATTTACAGTGATTGCTTATGAATTATGAACTCCATGTTTTAAAAATTTAAGAAGGTTTATTGTAACATTTCTTTTGTCTACAAGTTTTGGTTAGATTTATTTCTTTAGCTTTATTTATTTATTTATTATTTATTTACCTGTATTTCTTCATGCCAGTTGCAAAACTGTTAAAACATGAAATTGATATTGTTCAATATTAAAGGGATAAGAAGTTTGAAGATATTCTATTTATGTTTATGTTTGATTAAAGATTGGAGGTTGATTGTGTCTGCTTTTGCTAATAGTGGATGAGGTTGCTGTCTTGCTAACGTTTATTTATTTGTGATGTAATCAATAATTTGATTTTGTTTTTGGCCACCAGAAAGTCTTTATCAAAACACAAGTAGATTACTTGAGTGTTGTAGCATTTGGTTTGTTAGGTGACTTCAAAATTAAGGTGTATGTTTTACATTTGGACAACTAAAAAAGTAAAGTATGTGAATTAAATCTGTAAATGATTTTTTTTCTTCCCTATTTTTATGGAAGAAAAAAAATCATCTACAAAATGGCCTACAACAAGAGTTTCCAAAATGCCTACCAACTCATTACCAACCTTATTCACAGTACTAATCTTGGTAAAGCATAATTTTCTTAAAACTCAAGAATCAGCTAGTATGAGAAGGGTCTGTAGTTTAGGACTGCAATACCAAACAAAAATAGAATTCACAGAGGCGAAGCTAGAGAAAGAGAAAAAAAATTCAACGTGAGGACTCTCTATCTGAGAGAATCCAACCATTTCAACAAACTCAGGGAGAAGCAAAGACTTGGTAAAAGACACTCTTTTTATTTTTTTTATTGTTTGCTCATTTTTATCTTCATCTCATTTTATTTTTTTATTTTTTATTTTTAATTCAATGATGGTTATACATTTAGTGGATCGCTGGGAACAAGAGATGGTCCATAGTTTCTACTAATGGGGAGATGAACATAAACTTCATGAACAAGAGACGGTCTATGGTTTCAATGCTTTGCTTGATTAACAATACTTTTGGTGTTGACAGTTTTTCAAATGATGAAAAATCTAGAGTTATCCATATGATTTCAAGACTTTCTTCCATGTTTCAAGCATGATTTTTTTTAATTTTTTTTTCCTTTTCTCCTTGGAACACTATATATAATTATCTCTCAGCAGCAAACAAATCTATTGATAGCTACACCAAAAACCTCAGGCAGATCCAAGTCAAATAAACAATAGTCAGGCACAACAAGTGCCATTAATAAGTTAATGCAACTTTACATAATATGTCTCCTACACAAACAATGTTAGATGCAGATAGAACAAACTATTCTTCTCAGTGAACAAATGGATCACACAGTGAAATATGCACACCAGAGATCCGAAAACAGTATCATGTTTGTTGATTTCTTTACAATATGAATCAGTAACTGCAAATACAAAATAAAATAAAATAAAAATTATTGTTTCCATAAAAAAGCCAAGCAGTTTAAGAGCTCAAGAATCAGGTAAATCACAATATTCATTGTACTAATCTTGGTAAATCATAATTTTCTTAGAACTCAAGAATCAGGTAGTATGAGAAGGTTCTGTAGTTTATGGCTGCAATACCAAACAAAAATAGAATTTATAAAGGCAAAGCCAGAGAAAGAGAAAAAAATTCAATGTGAGGACTTTCTGTCTGAGAGAATCCAATCATTTCAACAAATCCAGGGAGATGCAAAGACTTGGTAAAATACACTCTTTTAATTTTTTTTATTGTTTGCTCATTTTTATCTTCATCTCTTTCTGTTTTTCATTGAATTCTCATCTGTCTCTCATTGAATTCCCAGAGCTCCACTAAATGTATAACCATCATTGAATGCCCCCTGTATATCTCTATATTTTATCATTTTATTTTAGGACTTGTTCACCAAAGAAAAAGTTACTTATGTTGCTTTTATGATTTCACTTTAATTAGTTAACAACCATTCAATATTATGTCTTTAAAACAGTGCCTAGTAGACACCATCGTGGCTTGACACGATGGCTAAAGGTTCAAGCAATGGTTGAGAAATATGGAAAACTCGAAGTCCTAGTTAACAACCATTCAATATTATGTCTTTAAAACAGTGCCTAGTAGACACCATCGTGGCTTGACACGATGGCTAAAGGTTCAAGCAATGGTTGAGAAATATGGAAAACTCGAAGTCCTATACCACAGGAGTATCGTGCGCCAGTGGGGGATCATGCCTTTCAATTTGTCTCCAGATTGGTGTTGAGGTCCGAACACACTTGCTAGACCTTAACATTCGCAGGTGGAAACATGTCAACAAAGAAGTCACGGCACCTATGATGTAGTGTCTAACGGTAAAAGTATTACATAATGGATTGAATTCATATAATACAATTAATTATGACTTACAATATTCGTGGTTGTTGCTAGGATCAATTTGACATATAAGGTGAATCCACAGATGTTAACAAAGCGGTGGTAACAAAGTGTGGACGGAGTTTGAGCACCCACACCTACAGACTATGAAAAAAATACCTAAATCTTAAGACTGCTAAGGGAGAGGAGTATGCTAGAAGCCACCCACCGCCTGGATATGACCTCAAGAAATGGAAAAACTTGATTGACAAGAAGTGGAATGATAGCAATTGGTTGGTAAACTTTTCTTATGTTTCTTTATTGTTGACAATTACCTTATGTCTTCGTAATATATATATTTTTCTATTGGAACTTACTTCTTGTAAAAGCAATCAATAGCTAACATTAACAATAGAAAACAATTGAATATGAAGCATAGATGTGGGTCGAAGTCTCTGCCAGTTAAGGTACACGAGGTGGTGAGTCTTTAATTTTTAAAATTTTTTTTTTATTTATTATTTTTTTTTAAAGTTGATTCTACTACCATCATTCTTATTTAATTTACGAGTTGAACAAAAAAATCAGACAACTGCAAATGGGAGCCAACTACCAGAGTTGCCACGTGTTTACAAATCCAAACACTTTAATGATGTCACAAAGCAGTGGATTTCTCCAGAGTGCGATGCATATAAATTTACCTTTTGTATTAGGATGATTGCAGTTTTTATTGTATCTTCATTCATTTTTATATTTTTTATTGTATTTTTTTTCAAAGTATGCTCAGAATGTCAATCCAGACCCTAGAGCCTCTGTTACCAATTCCCATAAAAGGTAACCATCTGCCTCCTATCACAGCGTACTTTGAACAAATAATTCTTTTCCATAGAGCATGATCTTTATTAGCATACCTCCACCACCATTTGGAAAGAAGACAGTCATTAACCTTTGTAATCCTCCTTATTCCTAGCCCACCTCTCTATATCGTGTAGAGAAGGTAAAATGGTAGAAGCCAGAAGGCTTTTTGATTCATTTTCCTAGAAGAATTGTGTTGTATGGACAACTATGTTTTCTGGGAATGTGAGGCTGCCTTTGATCTTTTAAATGAGTTTAAAGCAAAGAAATCGACTGTTCCTGATGCTTTGATCCTCATTAGTGTGCTTGGTGCCTTTGCAATACAAGCGGCTATGGATCCTACCAATCAAATTCATGCTTACATGTTCTGAATAGGAACTGAAATGGAAGAGAAATTGATTAGTGCATTGGTTGATATGTACTCAAAATGTGGGAATATAACATGCACAAAAACTGTTTGAAAGGGCTATTTTTAGAGATTTAATCCTTTACAATGTGATGATAGCTGGCTATCCATAATGAGTCCTGTGATTCTCTCTAGTTCTTGTTGGCATTAGTGCTAGTGATACATGGTATTCCTACAAACTTTTGGCATCTTCTGTTATCCGTGTTGCTTATCATCAAGGATCACCTCGACTCTTTGAAATTTTGTATTGTTATATGCATTTATACTAAATTGGTTTATAAAATAAAATTATTTATATATGAGTTTAGATGTAATTGATAGTATATTAATATTTTCTTTATTTATTTCTTTGCAGATTGATTTTTGATGACATGGGGAAGAACACTTGCAAATCAAGATCAAGTGTTGAATTTTTATTTTTATTTTTCTTGAACTGATACTTAGTTCTAGTGGCAAATCAAGATCGAGTGTTGATTTTTATTTGTGGACTCCACGTTAGTTCATTTTGGGATTACTATGATGGCTTTTTTTTGTTATACTTAATGGATTAATATTAAATTTGTTTGACGGATACATTTTGATTTATAATATAAATTGTTTGGTGAATTTTTTTTGTGGAGTGGTGTATGATAGCTAGTGGATTTCTTAGTATATTTAAAAGACTATTGGGATATGAGCAGGGATATTGTGAAATAATAATTTAAATTGAAATATAAAATATGGAACAAGTTTAGTGACGAATTTTTTCGTCATCTGTACTTGTTATTATGACAAAGTGATTATTCGTCAATAATAAATATCTTTTGTACAAAATTTATTACAACTTATATATAAAAGTTTTCATTAATTTTATTATTTGGTGACTAAAAATTTTGTCACGTACACATTTTTGCCACGAAATATATTTCGTCACCCATGTCTGACTTTTGGTGACGAACCATTTCATCAACTTTACATCTTATTCGTCAACTAAAGTTATAAATATGATATTGAATAACTATTTGGTGACGAAAATTAGGATTTTTGGCGACAAAATGTTGTCTTATCGGTGACAAGTTTTCGTCACTAAATTAATTTCATTGGTGACAAAATTAGTTTTCCTCATGGAAATTTTTAGTGACAAACATTCAATGGCAAAACCGGTGAGGAAAATATCTCCTCACAAATATCTATAGCGACGAAATTAGCTCTTTGGAGACAAAAAAAATTCGTCATTCAAGACCCAACTTATTGTACCAATCTCCATGTTGAGTCTTGGCTGACATGGATTGTAAGACTTGTGCTTCTTTGGTCCTTGTGATGGATTTAATTTCTTTCCACCTTGTCATGTAGATCCTTTGGGAGGCGTATTTGGTTGTTGGTTGAGTGAATTATGAGTTAAACTTTGTTTAGAATTGGTGTATCATAGGTTTGGGTTGTTAAAATCTGGTCTAAACTTGATTGGGTTGTTCTATGCACTTCTTTTGTTCGTTTGATGCTTTGGAAACTTTTATTTTTGCCCAGGGTGTCGACTCTTTGCTTCCTGGGCTTGACACTTGCGTTTCTTTTCTTTTCTCTTTGGTTTCTGCTTTCAGGGGTCAACACTAGCTTTTCTTGGTGTCGACACTGGTGGACCTGGGTTGTGCATATTGCAACACTGCTTTCTGGTGTCGACACCAAGGCTTCTAGTTGTTGACACATGGTCAGGTTTTTGTAGGGGTATTTCACCTCTGGTTGGTGGTGTCAACACCACCTATTGCAAGTGTCGATACCTAGCAGATTTTTAGATCTATATAGGCTACGGTTTTAGCGTCTTTTTGGGAGATCTTTTGAGTTATTCTCTTGTTTGACTTTGGGTTAGATATTTTTTTTGGGTGAATCTGGGTTAGATATTTTGTTTAACCTACTACTATAAATAGGACCTCAAAACACCTTTCTCTTTACTCTCTCTCTCTCTCTCTCTCTATATATATATATATATATATATCTTTCCCTTTTTACCGTGAACACCATTTCTCTCTCTCAAAGCTCTAGTTTTCTTCAGATCCACTCATATCGAGTAATCCCCTCACCTTACTCCTTCGGGATAGATTGTTGAGCGCATTGAAGGCTTCGTATTTATCTGAGCGTATCGTGTTTTTGTCGTAGTTGAGTTTTTGGATTTTCTTCTTTCCTTCTCCTCTTTGCATCAAGAGGTACAGATTTCTTTGCATTTTCACAATGCTTCGATATATATAAATAAGTGGTAGTTTTTGTTGCATTAAAACCCATGATTTGTCTTGAGATTTTCTAAAGCATGGTTTTGAGAGTTCGGGTTTTTGAGCCTTGGAGTTAAATCTCATGTTTTTGTTGTTTTGGGAAATATTGGGTTAGATAATCTTGTGTTTGTGGATTTTCTTGAAAGCCCTAGATTTTGTTATTTGTTTTAGGTTGTGGAGTTTAATTTGTGTTGTGTATGTGTTGGGTTATGAGTGTAGATCAATAAAGTTGGGGTTTTTATAAGTTAAAAGGGGCTTTTTGAAAAGGGTTATGGATGTTATAGATTTGAGATAATGGGTTTTGGTTTTGCAATAAAAAGGATGTTTATAAACTCTTTTGGTAAGTTGAGAAAAAAAAAAGGTTTATACCTTGGGTAAAATGTTGTTGTTGTTATTGTTATGGTTATTGTTAATGTTGTTGTCATTGTTGTTATCGTCGTTGAGGTTAATGCCTTATGAGGATTATATTATTTTATTATGAGAGTTGGATGTTTATTGCTTAGAGGTTTCGTCTTTTGCTATCGGTGGAGGATGGTATTGATTGTTGTTGAATAGAATATACATTTTATGTCATATAGAGTAAGTGTGTAATTTGGAATTTATGTGGAATTGTGATGAGTTGATAATGTTGACACGCTTCGAATCAGTGGTACCACTATTTTCGAGCTAGCACATGGTAAATTGGAGGTGTTTTGAATCAGAGGTACCACTACCTTCTAACTAAGGCCAGGTAAATTAGTATTGTTATGTAGGTTTAACATGCCCAGGGGGTACCCGAGAGCACTAAACAGTTCGAACTCTCGATTTCTTTGATCTAATTTCACTAGTGCATAGATGAGAGTCCATATTTGACAACTTTTATAGAAAATCCATTTTATTGCAAAACTTGTGCCAGAAATGGATTGGATCATCAGATCTTAGAGACGCCACCTAATATTTTGAAAAAAATAGGAAACTCGTGACTTGTGCCAAGGCCACTGTTCGTCGTAACCAATGATGCTTGGTTCGGAACCTTAGGTATGAGAGAGAAAGGTCATTATTGAGAACCCACACTCACCCAATCAAAGATCGGCTTTTACTAAATCATGATATGACTTTTATTCACTGTATATGTTTATATTCCGATTATTTAATAAATTTTAAAATTTACTATGTGAAAAAAACACATATAGATTGTCTCATTTATTTTGGAATAACTTGATTTCATATATTTTGAAAGAGTTTTGGGGATGTACAACTTAAAAATTTTTATAAACATGAAAATCAACATCATTCTAAATTAAGCGACACAACTTTCATCCACCGGCAGGCATAGAGTTATACCAAATAAGCAAATAGCCTCATGGTAGAATGCTAATCATAATAAGCAAAACACATACAAGTAGGATGCTAAAGTATAAAAACTTACAGATTTACCAACGTCCCGTGAACAGTTACAAAACAAAATTAGCAAAACATGTATAATCTTATATATATAATTCTAATGCAATTCACTCATGAAATGCAATTAACGATCTGGCTTCTAAAATATAACATGTGAATCATCTCAAAACATGAGGTAGAGCACAAAATCACATAATAATCGATTAAACTCACAAATGCAAATTTGGTCGACTCTTAATGCATAAAACATGGATGGGAATCATGGATATGATGAAATGCAAAATATACTGCATAATTACGAATAAGAAAAACAAGCAAAAGAACGGGATAGAAAAGAAGCAAGGCAGGGAATTATTACAATACTTGAATAATTACATATCCGAATAAGAGAGGAGAGGAAGAAAATATTACAACAAAATAAAAACCTTACAACTCTCTCAAATTAAAAGAAAAACAGTAACTTCATGTGCCTCGGAGATCTTTAGAAATTGTTCTAATCGTCATCAGAAGACTGCTCTGTTATGTCCTAGAAGAAGTTGGTTGACCGACCAATTAATTAGCCAGCAAGCTAATAAATTGGTCGGCCAGCCAACTACGCCTAGCTCAAAAACTCTGTTTTGTTGCAACACCAAAAAACAAAAAAAAACGGGGAATATGTAGATAACTCGACTAACCACTTCCAGTTAGATTACTATATGAAATTGAAGTAAGAAAATCAAATATAAGATAGAAAATGCAAGAAAATGAAAGTTTGCAAAATTCACCTTCTAAGGAAATGATGAACTTCTTGATTTCCAAACTTCCCTTTGATTATCCTCCAGGTTGTGAATTATGTTCTCAATCCTCAATTCAAAAACTTGGAATTTTTGCTAGAATGGTGTTTTCGGGTTGTTTAACAGTGTGTGTAGGGGGAATTGTTTAACTCAATGATTTTCTTACTTTCAATAACAATCACTCTTCCTTTAATCAAAGCTACTAGAATTTGGATATAATGAAATTTCTTGGATGGTTTTGATATATAAAAAATGGTATATCGGTGTATATGGAAAAGGGAAGTTTTGGCCAATTCTTTAATTCAAAGCTTAGACTTCTCTCTTTCTCTCTATCTCTCTCTTCTTTTTTAAATCCTCTCATCCCTCCTAACAATCTGATGATCTTTGTAGGCAATGGTGGAAGGCTAAGTCAAGAAGATGGTGGGATACAAGGGGCTATGAGGTGACAAGAATAAAGTACTTGACCCTTGCTTTAACTACTCCTTTTTTGAAGAGGCAAGTGCTTTTGACAATGGAGGCTGATAGTACATGCATCTTGTATATGAATATATCAGAAATATCTAAGGTGGCATGTCCCACACGCATTAAACAAGAAATCTGCCGAAATTGCCCTATTCCTAGACAAATTAGCCGGCCAACCAATTTCTTGGCCGGCCAGCCAAAATATTGGCCTTGGTTTGACTATTTTGCACGAAACAGGATTTTTCAGCAAAATTATCATCATTTCCTCTTATTTTCACACTGTTCTTTGCTCAATTTCTTGAGAAAACATTTTATTTTGAAATTTAAAAAAAATGAGCCTCGAAGAAATATGGAAATGCTTGGAACAAAGAGCAAAAAAAAAGTTTCGAAAGAGAGAACAAGCTTAGGGTTGGGGATAAGGCTCGAATTCCATCTTTCTTACTAAGGATGTTGTCAGAAACACATTCTTGTTTTTATTATCAGGTAATCAAAAGAAAGCACCAAAGTCTTAGAGTTGGTCAAAATAGGGTATTTACAGTAGGGTGTACTGTTTGCCTTCTATGCTTATGGCCAATAAAATACGAATTATGTTATTATTGTTGTGAAAAAGTGTACTACTTGCCTTCCGTACCTATGGTCGGTAAAACAAGAGAGTATGTGTTATTACTCTGTTAATTATCTTTTGGTTCTCTACATATATATATATATATATATATATATTGTGGTGGGCGTTTCATTTGCCCTTGTACTTTAGGCCATAAAATATGATTGATGTATTGGAAGTGTAATTGGGATTGTGTTATAAATTGTGTTTTGAGTTTTGAAAATTTTTGCAATGAAGATGATGAATTGTAAAGATAAATTAAAATGAGGTTTTTCTTTTATTGATGAAGAAATTTTTTTTTTTTTCCCAGGAAAAGATATACATATATATGATACTTCGATTATAAAAGCCACATTATTTATATAGTATGAGGTGGAACATTCATAATCTTATCCGTCTATTTGTCGCTATTGTTTTGAGTCATTGGGATTCCTACTGGAATATATATTCATCTCATGTTGTTGATAACTTTTCAGGTACAAAGTTGAAGAGTAGTTCAAGATCAGAGGATTTCCCTTATTTGTTGGCCAAGGAGCCTTGTAATGTAAAGAGAGTTAAACCTTTTTCTTTATGTTGTAATGTAAACCTATGGGCAACTTCATTTAATTGTATTGCATTTTGCATGAAATGTATGAATGAAAGGGAATCTTTGTTATTCGTTAATGTGAATGATTATTGTATTTACATATATCCTTATGGAAATTGATTAATAATAACGAATGCGGTAATGTTACTCGGGTAGTAAAAGTTGCGGCGTGACATGTACTGAAGATATTTCTCCCTAGCCTAGTAAGGTTACCCAACCTAATTATAAACCTATTCATATATATTTTTTTCAAAAAAAAAAAAAAAAAAAAGGAAAACTCATCTATATATCTTGAATTTTAGATTCCATTCTTTTCTTGCTAAATGTAAATGAAATGGCTCTTTGGATGCTGGACTTGAATAGAGACCCTCATTTGAATGAGGATTAAAAGGATAATTTTATTCTATTTATGAGTAAAAAATTGGAGCTTTTAGCAGTGATTTGTGCGCTTATGCACAAGGCCAACCTTGGTGGATCATGAATCACCCCTACAACGATAATATTTGGAGCAACCTCTACTATAAGGGTTAGATTGTGGTGGAAGACAGCCACTAGTCTTACTGTAAGCTTCACCACTTGCACCACCATTGCATACTGGTTGATTTATCTTTAAAGCTCCTGGTGATATGTACTTCTTCATCTCCAGAAACCTTTGGCTTACCTCTGACTCCATCACCATCTCCAAGTCGACATTACATTCTGCTATCGATCCGTTGCATTGTACAATTGCATCATATGTCATAGAGAGAGAGAAACATCTAGACAAAGAAGGCAAAGGAGTAGGAGAAAGTAGAGATGGAGAGGTATAATGGCAGGGCTAGTTTTCATGGCTTCTGTGGCTTTACTTTGTTCCTTCCCACAATGAAGCACTTATAATGGAAATGGAGAATCCAAACTTTTTAAAAGGATGATAGTGGAAGCCA